CGCGAGGCGACCTGAGGTGTCCGGGCGTCCCTGCCGGCTCCTGCCTCTCGCGCACGAGTCTGAGCCGCGGGCTGCCGCGTGGAGGAGGGCTAAGGTGCTTAAAATGTTTATTTATTTATTTATTTGTCTGTTTCGGTGTTTTGGGGAGCTTTGCTTTACAAACTGCGGGGGCGGCAGTGGCTTCAGCCCCTTCCTCCCACTCTTGATTGTGGGGGACACCATTGCCTTCTTGTGCTGCTCTAGTGGAAGCAAAGCTAAACTTAGGTGCTGTTCCCTTTCTGCAAAATGTGGTAGCATTGGGGTTTGCAGCAGGCTCTGAATGCCTTGGGAACAGCACTGAAAAATAGGCGCTGTGCTCCTTTAGCTTATGTTTTGGTGCTAGTTCCTGGGAAAGACATGCCCAGAATATGGTCAGCATCAATGTTGCGATTAAGCTGCAAGCTGAATTTTCCATTCACTGCTGCCTGCAATGTTAATATGCAGGTATGTTTCTGGAAGTGACTGCCCTCCCCTCTCCGTGACTCGAAGATAGCCATGATGGTGCCTCTCGTTTTTTTTTTTTTTTTTTTGTTGCCACTTTGGAGTTGGCACCTGCTGCTTGTGGTAGTGATTTAAGTAACATTTGTGAATCCAAGAAGCTTTAAACATGAATGTGCTAAAAACAGAAACACTAATATTTGAAAATCATACCATTACAGTCTATAGCAAAGCTTTCCCCCTCAAATGTATTTATTTATATTTCTTTGTTCTCACTCAACTCTGCTTAGAGAGGAAGTTCTTGGAGCAGTTGAATTAATGAAACCTGGTTTTCTATAGCTTTGTGTCCTAGGTCATCTGTACTCGCTGCCATAGGAACTCCTGCTGCTTATGGATGCCCCCACCACAGTAATCTCTGTTCTCCAGTGTCATATTTCCTGCCAGCTCCCAGCTCGGTAATTGAAGGTTATATATATATAAAAGCATATATATGTGCTTCCTTTCTGCTTTGGCCACAGCTTTTTGCCCTCAATTTTGAAGGAACTGGTGCTAACTGATATATGAGTGTGGCTGTTGTCAACATGGACTATTATGCATCATCTGACTTGGAAAAGTTATCTATCATTTTAATTTCTTTTCTGCAGATGATATTGTAGCTTTTACTAGATACCTGTAATAAAGTAACATCTAATGACTGGAGTCTAGGAACTCTCTTTCATGCACTGAGTGAATGGTAGCCTCGAAATGCTTATTTTCAAACGGATAAACAGAAAATTTGAGGTGAATAGTCTTTTTATCTGGGAATGATTTGGAAATCAGTTTTGTATTACTTTTATTATATAACTAAATGTAGCTGGTGTGCTACGAAAGAATAGGCTGTATTCTTTTGAATTGCTAGAGAATGAATAAGAGAATCAGAATGAATAGGATCAGAAAAGTCACAGTTATCTAAAGGACCAACTCCAAATATTACCTTCCCGGTGTATTCATGGTGCACTTTTCTTCTTCTTCTCTTGACCACCAGATGGTAGTGTCCTTCCAAACAGCTACTTTTGGTGTGACCCTGCAGCAGCTTTATTTTGTGTGTTTGTCATGGATAGGTAAGAACACAGGTTTTCAGGATACAGGTATAAGCCCTTAAGTCTGTAATTTGTATATATATATTTTTTAAAGGCACACTGAAGCCTGGGATATCTTTTAACATTCATATCCTAGTTTGTGTGGACAGAGTTGAGCACCTCAGTTTCTTCCTGCTTGTAGCACCACTGGCTCCCTGTCTCATTCCTGTGCCTGCTCCGTCTTCTCCTTTGTGTACCGGATTGATTCCTTTGTGCTTTTGCCTGGCCTCCTTCATGCCTGAAAACATGAATCTGTTTTTTTATTTTATTTTCCTCTTAAAAAAAAAATCAGAGTCATTCTGCATCCTTTTTTTTCCATATTTTTCTCTGCATATTGGTGCTTGTGTCTTTGCTCCTGTACCAGCATTTCTATACATT